CCCTCTGCCCCTTGGGTGGGAGGAGAGAACCCAAGTGTGCCCTGCTTGCCCACGGGACCCCAGCCACGACCTAGTGGCCCACAGCCCCCTCAGAGCCCGGCCTCTGCTCTCAAGGCACTACGACGCTGTGCGGCAGCATAGCCCCGATGGACGTCTGCATCCGGCACTTCCTGCAGGCCACAGGTCAGTGGGCCGGTGCCGAGTGTGCGGGGGCCATGTCTGCATTTGGGAGAAGCTGGAGGGAAGAGTGGGACCCACCCAGGCCCTGTCCCGCCGCCTCTGTCTATGGCTGTGGGGTTCCCAGGGTAGGGACCGGCCCCTGGGAATGTTGCCGAGGCCCTGCCCACACGCTCACGGGCAGCAGGCACACCGTGACTCGTGCCTAGGGTGACAGGCAGTCACCCTGGACACTCAGAGCTAGGGTCCTTGTCACAAAGTCCCTGAGATGGGAGCTTGAGCTGCGGGGTGTGGGGGCTGCTGGTACAGTCATAGGGATTGAGGATTGTCACCAAGCTGTGTCCCCTGAGCAGGCTGCAGCGTGGAGTCAGCCCTGGAGGCTGCATCCCTGCACCCTGCACAGCTGCTGGGGCTGGAGAAGTGTAAGGGGACCCTGGACTTCGGAGCTGACGCAGGTGAGGGCCGGTGCAGGGCAGTCAGCAGCCTTGGCTCTGCCTGCTAACCTGAGAGTTCTCGGGGGGCCTGGGATGGGGTAGGAAGAGTGGGTCTTCCTGAGCACCCACTCCCAGGTGGCCTTGCCCTGCCACCAGCCTCAGCCTGGTCTCTGGTGCCCGTCAGGCCAGGCTTTCTGGTGTGCAGGACCAGGCCAGGCTTGCAGGGAGCATTGTCCCTGTCCTCAGCTGCTGGGAGTTGGAGCTCTTGGTTCTAGCACCTCTGTCAGTCTGTGATAGGTCAGGGTGTCCTGCATGGGTTGCGCCCCTGGGCCTCAGTTTCCCCACCAGCCTCGGGTTGTGGGGAAAGATTCCAGGTGGGGGTGGGGTAGTGGCCCCGCCCCAGCCCCAGCCCTTTCCTCACCGCCTGGCTCTGACCCAGACTTCGTGGTGCTCGATGACTCCCTCCATGTTCGGGCCACCTACATCTCGGGTGAGCTGGTGTGGCAGGCAGAGGAAGCCGGGCAGTGATGAGGACCTCGGCTGGAGAGGACACCTGGCCCCAGCTGGATACCTGTCAGGGCCAGGCAGCTGGGGAGCTGGCCTCCAGGGAGCAAGTGGGGCCCTGCCCCAGGCTGACAGCCTTGGCTCTCGTGGCCACCCTGGAGGCGACTGCATAAACATGCGCCCAGCAGGGACTCGCCCTTCTCTGGGTTTTGCTTGCACTCGACACTGGCTCCTTGCTGTTTGCTCCTCCCCTGGTACCCTCCTGGGGACGGCATGTGTGGCTTGTGGGTGGGAATTGCTGGATTCCAGCTCAGCCCAGGCCTGTGGGGCCCCAGTGAAGGAGACAGAGTCCACCCTGGTAGGTGGCCCTGCCTGAGGCCTGCAGACACAGGAAGATGTTGGGATGAGCAATGAATGGGGGCAGATGGGGATGCAGTCAGCGCGGGTGCCATGGGGTGGAAGCCATGGGCCGCAGGCGGGAGACCTGGCAGGAACGGGCCTGGAACAGGGAGTGTGGACGGTGTCAGGAGTTTGCTGTCTGCACTCGGAGATGGGTGGGCAGAGCGGAAGCCCAAGGCGTAGTCCTGGGCCAGGGCACAGAGACAGGGCCTCCACTGCAATACTTGACCTTCAGGAAGGAGTCCACACTGGCTGGAGGTCCCTGACCCCTGCTCCCGGGCCTGCCCAACCTGCCCAGCGCTCAGTCCCACCGCCTCACGGCCCTGGTGGGTAATCGAGGTTCCACTTCCTTTGGTGTCTTTCAACAACCCCATCTGCTGGCCTGATCCCAGGTGGACATGGCGAGCCCTCCTTTGTCTCAGTGCACAGGCAGCTGTGGGGACCCTGTCTGGTATTGGTGGGCAGCTGGGTGTCACTAGTGTCCTGTGCCCTGAAACTGTTTGCCCTGTTGGTGTCATCCTGCAGCCTTCCTGTTCCCTCGGCCTGGCAGCTCACCCTATATCCACTTTCCCACTCCTCGTGGGGAGCATGGGCTGTTTGGCTTCTTGGGTAGCTTTGAGGCCAGGGAGCTTTGGGGATCCCTTGACTCTGAGGGTGACCAGGATGTGGGGGGCAGATGTCCAGGTGAGTGTTTGTAGCCCCAGGTCTGGAGTTGTCTGGACTTCCAGGTGCTGGGGTGGGCGGCCCCTTGCATATGGTGCTTGCAGTCCTCAGTGCGGGACATTTCGGACACCGTTGCACCTGGCCCGGCCACTGTTCCCTTCCCTTCTGCCTCTGCTGCGAAGCCCACCCAAGGAAATGTCTGCAGGCGCAAAGTGACAAAGATGGTCTCCAGCTCCACCTGTGTTTGAGGGCGAATGGCCTGGGAAGGACAGCCTTTGCTCAGGGCCTGGCTGGCCCAGGGCTGAGGGAGGGCCTGGGCAGGGGCCACCTGTGGGGGCACAGGGGACCTGTCCTCAGCCCACGTGTCCCCAGGGTGCACACCGTCAGTCCATGAGTGCCAAGGGATCCTGACCTGAGAGGCATGGGGTGCAGGGACGCCCAGGTCCACTGTGGACAGTGATGGTCCCCTCTGCACGTGGCTGGCCAACTCCCGAGTGCCAGGTCCCAGGAGAGGGCCTGTGCACAGGGGATCGCAGTGGCAGGGAGGTACAGACGCGCTTCTCGGCAAACATTAAAAGCTGAGCAGGGCTTGCACCTCCCTTGCTGGTGTAAGTACTTGGTGTTGTCCCTGCTCTTACCAGAAATCCAGAAATGTCCTCTTGGTCATCCCCATTTCTCAGGTGGGGAAAGGAGCACTGAGACCTGGCAGGCCCTGTGCCGTTCAGCTCGCCACCACGCCCCCTCTCTGGTGGAAAAGCTGGCTGAGATAGGTGGGCAGCAGGTCCCCTGGGTGACAGGAGCCGGCACTGGGTAGAGCACTTCAGCCCAGGGCCAGAGGCCAGGCAGGGCCTTGGTGTGTTGGAAGGAAGCGGGCGGGGGCCGGGGGTGAGCGGGCTTTGGGCTGCTGAAGGGGTGGGTTTTATTTGAGGTGTGGGGAAATACTGGGGGTGGTCTTTGGTTTTTTGTAAGTATAACAAGCATGAAGTTCAGTGGCGTTAAGTGCATTCACATTTGTGTGTTCAGCGCCTCCATCCATCTCCAGAACGGTCCCATCTTCCCAGACTGAAATTCTGTACCCCCAAACACTCCCTCTGCGCCCCTGACAGTCCCCTTCTGCCCTGTGCCCGCCCATGAAGTCCAGGCAGGAGGCTGTGGGCGGGGAGGTGGCGCGGAGGTGGAGGTCCGGGGGAGACCTAGCGTCGTGGCCCGTCGCTTCCTGGACGAGAGTGGAGGCCAGAGACCCTGCGTGGGCCCCACGCACGGCGCCAGGCCAGGAATTCGCTCCTCGGCTCGCAAGGGCCGCCTGGTGGCCGGGCCTGGGAGCGCAACGGCCCTCCACTTGGCGCGCCGGGCCGGCCGCGGGTTCGAATCCCCGCTCTCGGGGACACAGCCACCCATCTCACCCTCCGGGCCTCCTGGGCTCCGAGCGCACCCGGCACGTCGCGGGGGGGCCATGCGCTCGGGGCCGGACGGTGACTCGTGGAGGGGTTCCAGGTCGTCCAAATCTGAGAACTTGGTTGGGAGGTGTGGGGACGGGGGACATGCATCAGCGGCGACCGCGCCGGGACGGCAGCGGACCCAGGTGGCAGGATGCCCGCGATGGATCTGTGCCTGCCCGCTCCACCACGCCGCCGTCCTGCAGCCCGGGTGCCGGGTGCACCGCGCCAGTCTGGGAAGCATGCGGCGCGGGACACGCCTGCCGGGGGCGGGGCTTCTGGGGGCCAATTAGGACAGTGGTGGGCGGGGCGAGTTGCCCTCCGGTGCAGTCGATAGACGCGGGCCGGAGCGGAGAGCCCGCCGGCCCCGCTGCACCCCTGCGCCCGATCTCCGTGTGGGGAGGCCGAAGGGCGGGCTGGGCCACCAGTCCCTTAGGCCCCGCCCCGCTCGGGCGTTTCCGGGCTTGGGAGCTGGGTGGGCGCAGCGCGGGGTGGGGGAGCCAGGGGGGCTGGAGGGAGGGCGGCCGTGCTCCGACCCGGGGGTGGGGGGCGTCTCCCCTGCCCGCTTCCCAGCTCCCAGTGCTCGGGTGGGATGCCCGGGCCGCACCTAGCCTGGTGCCCCGCTGCGTCCTGGTCCTGCGCCTTTTACCGCATTTGCGTCACGTGCTTTTTTTCTGAATGGGTCTGCGCTTTTGCCATTGCTTTGCGGTTCGTTGCTTTTAAGTGGAACAACGCGAGTGGAGAGCTTCCTGGGTGGGGATGTGTGGATCTGTCTCGCCAGTGTAAGAAGGTGCCCAGTATCCTAGTAGGTTAGCGTGCTCCCTAACCCCACCCCACCCCCGCGGGGGGCGCACCTGGAGGTGGGGGGCGGGCGTCTGGGAGCCCGGACCCACAAGGGGTTCTGCGTGGCTGTCCTCTCGGCCCTGTAGTTCCCTACCCTCTGCCCCCAGGACAGCCACAGCAGGGCCTTCCGAATGAGTTTCCTGTTGCTGCTGTCACGAATCACCGCAAACTCAGTGGTTTCAAACAACGCAGATTTATTTAGCAGTTCTGCGGGGCTAAGTCAGAAATGGGTCTCAGTGGGCTGAGATCAAGGTGCTGCCAGATCTTTGTTTTTTCCTAAAGGCTCCAGGGGAGAATCCATTTCCTACGTTTCTCATCCTCCAGGGCTGCTGGTGCCCTCGGATGGTGGCCCCTGCTATTTGCAAAGCCAGTGAGTCTGTCTCACTTTGCATCACTGCGACCCACACTCTTCCTGTTTCTTGCTCTCATCTTTTGGGAACACTCGTGATTATACTGGGCCCACCTGGATGATTCTGGCTCATCTCCCAATTATTATTATTATTATTTTTTTTAGTCAGTCTCACTCTGTTGCCCCGGCTAGCGAGGACTTGGTGCTGGCTGCCCCTGTGTGGCACCCGCGTGAGCGCCTAGGCCAGCCCATGCAGCCAGGCCACTTCTGGTGCCCAACCCGCAGAAACCACAAGATAACACGCTTGTTTTTGGGGTCTACATCTTGGGATGGTTTGTTACACAGCAGGTCACAGTACACTAGCTGTCCGATGTTCCTTAGGCTCTGAACCCTGCTCCCTCCCTTGTGCCCTGAGGGTGACGGGAGTGAGGCCCAAGCCCAGGGCCTGGTGTGTGGCCGGAGAGCACGCCCTGCGCCTGCACAGCCCCCAGCCCCTGCAGGCAGCCATCTCCTTGCCCCTCCCTGGGCAGATCATGACCTCACAATGTCAGGCCACCTCACTGCATCCTTTGGGCCCCAACAGAGGCTCTGGGCAGAAAAGAGTCAGAAAAGGGCCAGGGGGTGGGCCCTCCTCCAGCGGGGTGCCAGTGAGCTGCTGGGCCAGGTGAGACCATCTGCCCCTTGGCTGCTGTCCACAGTGAACTGCGATTGTGCTTCCTTTCTGGTACAGCTGGTTTTGGGGAATATTCCTAGTCTCACTGACAGCTTCTCAATTCAGCTTTCTATGTAGTGAGAATCTATCATGTTCAGTATTTTTCTGGAGTCTTCTGGGAGCCTGCTCCACTTGGGTCGAGGTGCTCCCTGCTGACAGCTTTTATTCTCCTCACACACCTATTTAAACGTGTACTTTTCTCCCCAGGCACTCCTGCAACTCCATTTGCCTGATTTTGTTTCTTCCCCACAGCACGTATTGCCTGCTAATGTGCCGTAAGACTTCCATGTTCATTAGACTTGCTCTCTTCCCCCACTCTGCCAGTGGTACTGGTGTTCCACAAGGGCAGAGACTTTTGTGTTTGGTTCACTGATGAATCACCAGTGTCTAGTGCAGTACATGGCATGGAAGGGAGGCTCAATAAATAGTTGTTAAATGGACTTCCCTTCATCACATTCCTGTGCATTCTGTTTCTTTTTGTTTCCTGGATCTCAGCTCTTCTTTCTTGGTTTACTCCCTTCTTTGATAGAGCAGATCCTTCAGTAACTTTCTGAGAAAAGATGCTTGTGATATATTTAGATTCTATAGCTTTGCACATATTTACACTTACGTTCACTGTAGTCTGGCAAATGTCTTCACATGAAAGACGGTATTAATAAATATTGAGTATCTGTCTTATAAGGTGGTAATGAGAAGTAAGGTAAATCATATGAAATAGTTAGCATTCTCTCAGTACAAGTTTGTACTACCTTTTTTTTTTTGGTTTGTTTTATATGAAGGGGTAGAGGTTTGTGAGAAGGGGCGCTCAGTTGCCTTGTTTGTTTTTTGTTGAGACAGGGTCTCACTCGCCACCCAGGCTAGAGTGCTGTGGCATCACCCTAGCTCACAGCAACCTCAAACTTCTGGGCTCAAGTGGTCCTTCTGCATCAGCTTCCTGGGTAGTTGGGACTACAGGTGCACATCCCACGCCTGGCTGTGTGGTTTTGTTTTTTTTTTTTTTTCTTGTCTTTTTGGTAGAGATGGGGTCTCACTCTTGTTCAGGCTGGTCTTGAACTTCTGAGCTCAAACAATTCTCTGGCCTTGGCCTCTCAGAGTGCTAAGATTATAGGTATGAGCCACTGCGCCCAGCCTTTTACTACTTTTGGAGGACTAAAATAAATATAAAAGAATGGCTGTGGGGAGGCAGTTGAACATAGTGGCTAAAAGGAGGGCATTGGAGTTGATCAGGGCTGGTTTTTAGTCTTGTGCTCTGTAAGCTAACTATGATGGAAATCCCTGAAGCCTCGGTTTCCTCATGTAAACAATGGGAAGGATCATAGCACCTGCAACTAATGGGGCCGTTGTGTGGCACGGACAGATACACTGCTCTTAATACGTAGAGGGCTATTGATGTAGAATAATGATACCCATGTTCCCCCATTTTTTTTTTTGAGGCAGAGTCTAACTTTGTTGCCCTGGGTAGAGTGCTGTGGTGTCAGCCTAGCTCACAGCAACCTCAAACTCCTGGCCTCAAGCGATCTTCCTGCTTCAGTCTCCTGAGTAGCTGGGACTACAGGTATGTGCTATGATGCCTGGCTGATTTTTCTATTTTTATTAGAGATGGGGTCTCTTGCTCAGGCTGGTCTTGAATTCCTGTCCTCCAGCAGTCCTCCTGCCTCAGCTTTCCAGAGTGCTAGGATTACAGGTGTGAGCCACTGAGCCCGGCGTCATGTTCCCAAATGTTGAATGTGTCTTGGTATGGTGACAAGAGATAATGTCTACCTTGAACTTGCAATTCTGTATGCTAAGAATTTATCCTAAGGAAATAAGTAAAAGTATGCCTGGATTTAAGTGCAGGGCCTTGTTAGTGAGAAAAAAGCATGGGAACTATTTTAGTATTTATTGTTAAGAGAGTTGGCCTGGAAAACATAGGAAGACCCTGTCTCTACAAAAAAATTTAAAATTAGCCATTCGTGGTGACAAGTGCCTGTAGTCTCAGCTACTCAGGAGGCTGAGGCAGAAGGATCGCTTGAGCCCAGGAGTTTGAGGTTGCAGTAAGTTGGGATAATACCACTGTACTCTAGCTCAGGCAACAGAATGAGACCCTGTATGTGTGTGTCTCTGTCTCTGTCTCTGTCTCTGTCTCTGTCTCTCTCTCTCTCTCTCACACACACACACACACACACACACACACACACACACACACACGGGCCAGGCTTGGTGGCTCACGCCTGTAATCCTAGCACTCTGGGAGGCCGAGGCAGGTAGATCACTTGAGCTCAGGAGTATGAGACCAGTCTGAGCAAGAGTGACACCCCGTCTCTACTGAAAATAGAAAAAATTAGCTGGCCATGATGGTGCATACCTGTAGTCCCAGCTACTTGGGAGGCTAAGGCAGAAGGATCGCTTGAGCCCAGGAGTTTGAGGTTGCTGTGAGCTAGGTTGAGGCCATGGCACTGTAGCTGGAGCAGCAGAGTGAGACCCTGTTTCAAAAGAAAAAAATAGAACTTGGTCAATACATGGATCCATAAACTATGGGATGTTCCCCCATTAGAGTCCTCTGCACCTCTTACAACTGAGGAGAGCTGTACAGGATACAGGATGATACATTGTTAAGTGAAAAAAAAAAAAAGCAAGTATCAAAGCAGCATGAACAGCTTCAGCCCTTCTTGGGGGTAGGGGTTACATTTGCTTTTTGTTGTTGTTGAAGGTGTATAAAACATGCAGAGGACAGGAAGACTGGATAGTCAGACAGGGTCTGTAAAACCTGGGGACCGATGTACCGACTCTGGCACATGTCTGTCCTGGAATCTACACTACCTTGAGCAAGTTACAGAATTGCCTTGTGGCTTAGTTTCCTCATCTGAAAAGTGGGGCAACAGTACCAGGGATGCTTGGTTAGAGTAAATGAGATTTGGCATGAAAATGCCTCACTTAGAGTAAGTGCTGAGTAAACCTTAGTTTACTAGTTTACTATTCACTAGTAAACTTAGTTTACTATTCACTACTATTCAACAATTTATTCTGTCCACCTGGGACTATGGGCTCATTTATTTGATTGTTACTTGTATTGTCTAAATTTTTAGTTATTTTATTTATTTATTTTTTTCAGACAGTCTCGCTGTGTTGTCCAGGCTAGAGTGAGTGCGGTGGCGTCAGCCTAGCTCACAGCAACCTCAAACTCCTGGGCTCAAGCGATCCTGCTGCCTCAGCCTCCCAAGTAGCTGGGACTACAGGCATGCACCACCATGCCTGGCTAATTTTTTCTATATATATTAGTTGGCAAATTAATTTCTTTCTATTTATAGAAGAGACAGGGTCTTGCTCTAGCTCAGGTTGGTTTTGAACTCCTGACCTCAAGCAATCCTCCTGCCTCGGCCTCCCAGAGAGCTAGGATAAATTTTTATTTTTTATAATAAAGATATATCATTCCTCTCGGAAATAGAAAAAAGGACTATTCAAAAATATGCAAACTGTCAGATAACAAGGATGATACAAATTTTGCTTAAAACATTAACATCGCACAATAATGTGAACGTAATGTCGCTGAATTGTACACTTAAAAACTGGTTAAGATGGTAAATTTTATGTGTATTTTATCACAATTAAAAAGACCCAGCATCAACATCATCGTCAACAGTTAAAACGACAAAGGGGAAAAAAAAGCCCCCACACACATTTATAGGCAAAGACAAAAGTTCTGAGAGTGTCTCCGGGACTATGAACGGTGATAGGATGGGCTTATTTCTGCCTTATAAATGTAGCTTTATAGCCCGAATTTCCTTCCGCGAACGCTTGTTAGCTGCGAAACTAGTAAAGTTGCGTCTCCTGACGTTTGCTAAGGGCCGGCTCTGGCAGCCAGGCCGCAGGTTCGAGGCCAGCCCCGCCACTGCCTCGGGCGTGACCTTGGCAGCCCCTCTGAGCCTCAGTTTCCCCGTCTGTCAGCTCGGGATGACAGCTGGCCCCCCGCCCCGCCCGGCCCCGCCCGCGGGCCCCAGGATTGGTTCGCGCGGGGTCCCCCTCCCCAGGCGGGGCCGGGCCGCTCCCGCCCGCCAGGTCCCAACCCGGAAATGCAGCTGGGGCAGGGGCGGAGCCCGCCTGGGCCGCGGCGGAGCGATGACTGGCATGGCCTATGGGCGCGGACGGCGGCGGCCGCGCGGCGGAAGTTCCGCCCGGCGTCGCGCGGGGGCGGGGCGGCGCCGGGGGCGGCGGGCGGCGGGGCGGGCGCAGGATGAGGGCGGCCATTGCTGGGGCTTCGCTGCGGGGAGGAGGACGCTGAGGAGGCGCCGAGCCGCGCTGCGCTGCGGGGGAGGCGCCCGCGCTGACGCGGGGCCCATGGCCAGGACCACCAGCCAGCTGGTGAGTGCACGGCGGCGGGCTGGGCGTGGCGGCCGCCCGGGTCCGGCGAGGCGCGACGGCCCGGGGTCCCGAGGGCCGGGCGGCGCCTCACCTGCTGCCGGGCGGCAGGGCCGGGGACAGCGGGCGCCAGCCTGGGGCGCCGCTCGGGTGCGGCGGGGAGCCAGGGCCCGGGCCGGGGCTGCGGCAGGCGCCGGGGGCGCTGACAGACGCGCGGCGGGCGGGGGAGTCCGGGGAGGTGTCACCGGGCCAGGCGGGGTGGAAGTGCTTGGAAAGTTTGTTTTCTGCTTGGCGCAGGCTGGAGCCGAGTCTCCGGGTTACCTTTCGGTTGTGTCTGCGGAGGAACCGCCCTGGGTCTTCACCTGGAACGGGGTTCCGGTGCCTCCGCCTGCGAGAGAAGCAGAAAGTGCGAGTTCTTGCTGAAAGCACCTGATGCTCCTGGGCCCCGTTTCCAAGTACTTGATTAGAGTGGTCTGGAAAACTCCTTTCACTGCCCGGCGAATGGGCATTTGGGTGCTTTTCCTGCCTTGTGGCTCTGCTCAGTGTTGTGGGAAGCCCCTGGGAGGCCGGGCTTGAAGGCGTCACTCAGAGGAAAGTAAGCTTGACAGGTAGGAGGGATTTTAGTTGAAAAGACCCAAACAAACCACTTGTTGGGTGAAATGTTTTGCTAAAAGTAT